AGGCACAGCTGGAATGTAGCTGAGTGGTAGTGTCCTGCAGCAGGGCAGGTTTGTGCTCTGCACCTCCACACCTGGGCCCTGCAAATGCTGGCTGGTGACAGCCACACCAGGTACAACAACACCTGGCACAGGGGCAGGGCTCTACCTGCCCTGCTCCTCTGGATTTATAAAGGTTCACTAAAGCGAGACTTCCCAGGTTTGAGGAATTTGAACTAAGGAAGAAGAGAAGGCTGTTTTGTCCCCTGGACTCATCTGTGCAACCCAGGGATGAGGGGAAAGTTTTGGCTTGGCCCAGAGTCTGAGGCCATCTTTTTTTGCTTTTGTTGTTGTGGTGCTAGGGCCTGAATCCAGAGCTTTTGCACCGAGCCGCATGGCCAACCCCTTTTCTCACTAGGGCAGTAAGCTGCCCAGGCTGGGACTGAACATGCGGTCCTCCTGCCTCAGGATCTCTGAGTGCTGGGGCGACAGCAGTGCATGCTCACGCTAGGCTGTCGGTTCACTTCTTTATTCCCTCCGTGCATCCAGAGCCCCTCCTGTGTGCCAGGTACCGAGCCGAAGTGCAGAGATAGCTGCAGCCTCGTTACGGCAGCCAGGACCCTCTGCCCACAGTGGAAGCCCCCTGGGGGTCCAAAGGGGCGCTGAGGCTGTTACACCCTGGAACGCTGCAGTCCAATCTCTAGCACCCCGACCAGGGCCCAGGCTAGGTGTCAATCCCGTGCAGCCACAGTTGAGGGTTCAAGGACAGCACCAGGGCCTCCCCCAGGCCTTGGCCTCTCCGAAGGCCCACTTTCCCCCCAGGAAGGAGTAGCTCTGAGTCTTTCTGTTCGTGACCCCCTGGAGCGTGCTGATTCTCCTGGAAAAGGTGGAAGAGATGCAGGAAACTAGAGAGGCCAGCGAGGGCCAGGAACTGGCCAGGACCAGCACCCGGGAAACCAGAGAGAGCAGGAACCACAGTCACTCCACCTCACTGGGCTCCTATTTGCATACAGCCTTCCTCCCACGTCCTTCAGAAGAAAAGCAGTCACCATCAAACCGCTCCTTCCCTCACCCTGAGTGGAAGTCTTGTTGGAAAATATTGGAATACACCCCCAACACAGCACAGGAGAGGGAGGCAAAGCCGCTCCCGCCTCTCTGGTGAATCTTGCCAAGCACCTCCCCTTAAAGACAGCGTCTCCGAGCTCACAGGCTCAGAAAGGGAGGAACTCAATCCATGTGCAGGTCATCCCTTGCAGTGACACTCAGTGCCATGGGGAAGGAGCAGCCCAGGGCTGCACCCAATGGGGGTTAGGGAGAGAAGCCTCCCGCCCTTCCGCCTCTCCTGCTGCATCCTGCGGCTGACGCTGCTTGCTGTTCTTGGTCACCTCCTGTCCTTCCTCCTCTCCCTGGCCCAGCACTGGGAGACAAGTATTGGCTTGCGCAACCCTGCCTGCCCATCCTTCCCACAGCCCTGTCCATTTGTCCGTGCTGCATTCTCCTTGTGGCCTTGAGCTTCCATGCCAGAGCAGTCCTGGGGTCCTGCTTGGCCACTTAAGCCCTGGGGACCTGCGCTTGAGACTGCCGACCCCATTTCACGGTGGCTCGTTTTCAAGACCGAGGAGAGAGCCAGATGTTCCCGAGTTTGGGGAAATGGAAGGCTTTTCATGACATCAGACAGGCCGGGGTGCCAGGAGGTCAGAAATGGCCTGCTGCAGCCAAAGGACACGGGTTCCAGTGCCAAGAGCCAAGTGAACCCTCACTGCCACAAACCAGGCCCAGGGACCGCCTTATACACAGCCACGTTGGGGGAGGGCAGGGCGGATGGGTTTTTGCGTCTAATGCTGCTGGGTGGATTCTCGTGGGGTACAGCTAGGAGCAGAACAATGTCGCCCATGGCACCCGGTGCCTAGGCCGTCGGGCTCCTGAGACCTTGCTGTTCACACTCTCGGCAGCATAGCTAAAGGCTCTAACCACGCCACATCTCGCCAGCACTGTCATTGTCTGGCTTTCTCATTACCAAGTGCGCGTCAGAATCTCTCCTAACCCTCGGGCAGGGCTCAGGTCACTCGCCAGGCCTACGCATCCCACTGGCCCCGCAGGAAAGTTTGCTTAGTTTTCCGTTCACCCTTGGTGCCAGCTCTGAGCGGGCAGCGTACCTCAGCTCTGCAGGTTCTGGCTGGGATTTGAAGCTATCTCCGCTGCAGGTCAAGGCCGCCATTTCCTCTAATAAAAGTGTACTAACGATGACAGCCGTGTGATTCCTAATTGACAATAGCAAATCAAGCACACGTCCCGCTCCGCCTTGAGGCCTGGCGAGAGCAGTAGTGAGTAAACCGCCCCAGAAGCCAGCGCGGAGGAGGGACGCACAGCTCCCTGCGGGTTATGGCAGGACGCTTGACGGAGCACCTCCCGCCAAGGTGCTCATCAAGTGTAAGCATCTGCTTTGGTTAGAACACAGAGGATTTCAGAGGCATCAAACCACAAGGGCAGGAGTCGTGTGCGCCCTGCGGCCGCGCTGTGCTGGCCTTACGCAACCGCGCCCGCCAGACCTCGGTCTGCCCGGTGCCGGGAGCCGCGCAGCTTCCAGGCCCAGGCACCTCCAGCCAGGGCGGGCGCGGAGCCGCTCTGCGCCGCCGCACCCGTCCTGGCTCCGGTCCTGAGGCTCCTCAGCGACGCAGAGAGCCCTGCAGGTGCCTTCGTAAATGGGGACAGTAACACTTATACCTGCTTCTTTCAGGGTGTGCTCGCTGGACCAACCTGCGACCAGCACTAGGTATAATCTTGTCTTACTCACTTTCTCATCACTAGGACAAAATACTTGATTGATTGATTTATTTATTAATACTTGATTCCTGTGACCAAAAGGAGAGGTTTCAGCCCAGGACTGCCAGCTCCAAGGCAGGAAGAGGGCCTGGTGGAGGGCCTTTTGGAGGGGCTGTTCAGGGCGTGGTGTGCAGGAAGGGTGGATCCGGGAGCGAGATGGGCGCAGCCCCGTCTGGTGGTTCCAGACGCGTGAACCACCACAAATCTAGAAACTAAATTACGGATCAGGGCATCTTCCTTTAACACTCAAATACTACCGGCTGAGCACACCTTCCCAAGTCAGCAGGATGGGTTCAGACACCCTGTCCCACCCATGCCTCAGCCCCTCTCCTGGGAGAGGCCAGTCCTAAGTTCACCCTCCAGCAGGGACAGATCAGCCCCCGAGGGCAGACAGACCCAGAGGGACCCACAGCATGGAGTGACAGAAAGTGAGACATGCTGACCACCCTCTTTCCTGCCACTGCCACGAACCCCAGTGTCACAGACCAACGGGCATCCATATGCCACGGTTCTGGGGGCCAGGAAGTCAGGCTCAGCATGTGGTGAGGGCTGGGGCCTCCATTCCAAGATGGCGCCATGCTGAGCACCCTCAGCAGAGAGGGATGGAAGCTGTGTCCCCTCGGAGAGAAGAGCAGCCACACGGCCTTCTGACAGTCCTCTCCCTTCAGTGAAGTGTCCGCATAGGGGCTTGGGGCACACACTCAGACCTCAGCACCCTGTGATGTGGGGTACCCTCCTCTAATACGTTACGCAGCATTGATGTCCCTGGGCCAAAGCATCCAGCAACTGGGCACCCACAATGCTGTGAAAGGCTTTGCCCAGTGCTGGGGTGACACTGGACAGTGAGGCCGAGTTGGGGTTCAGGCACCAGCACCCCTGGCTCCAAGAAGACTGTTTTTGGGTCTCCTGTCCTGCGTGTTTCTGCCAGTCTCTCTTCACCCTCTGCCTGTTCTAGCAACCTCTGCCGGCTGTCAGCAGCTGGACGGGGAGCCAGGAACAGTGACCTAGGCCATCCTGACGCCTAGAACCTGAGTGCTGCCTGCGGGGGCGGCAGGACTTTCACAGGTGTGATTCCGTTAAACATGAAGAGGTGGGTATAGTGGCCCATGCCTGTAATCCCAGTAGTCTGAAGGCTGAGGCAGGAGGATTGCTGAGTTTAGAGCCAGTCTGCTCTACCTAGCAAGACCCTGTTTATATAAGGAAAAAAGAAAAAGAAGCATGAACACTCTCAAGTGGAAGGCTGCCAAGGGTGCTCTACGATGGTCTCTATGCGACGGTGGTGAGGCAGCCCGGGAGGTGGAGGCAGGAAAGCAGGGTGAAGAGGTGGTGAGGCAGCCCGGGAGGTGGAGGCAGGAAAGTAGGGTGAAGGGAAGGGGAGAGCGGGAGAGACCTGTGTGAGAAGGGAGGGGCCGCCCAGCAAGCTGTGCGGAGCAGCTGTGGAAAGCTGGAATCTTGGCCGCAGGCGTGGTGCATGCCTGTGATCCCAGCACCCTGGGAGGCAGAGGCAGGAGAACTGCACGATCAGGTTCAGCCAGGACGTTTAACAACAGAGCAGACCCTACGCCAAGACAGAGCTGCTGGAGATGCAGCTCTGTTCAAAGGCCCTGAGCTCCACCCTCAGGGTCGCCGACCAAGAAAAAAGTGATCTTGTCTCCCTCCGCCTCTCCAGGTGGCCCACAATGAGCAGAGGCCAAGCCTGGCTTCGGCTTCCTCTCAGCGGTGTTTCCACATGGGAGCACTGGGTGGGTCTTTGCTAGGTGTGTTGTGGTGCTTGCCACAGCAGGATAAGGTGTAAATCCCAGAGAAAAAGCGAGAAGGCTGCTCCCGCCCGCCCCAGCCTGGCAGTGTGTAAAGACCCAGGACGGGGGTGGGGATGTGCGTGATTGCTTGTGACCAGCGAAGCAGCGTGAGCTGGGAGTGCACACACATGCACATATGCACATGTGCATGTACACACACACAGATCAGCACACACGGGCACATTCACATGCTCATATACACACACGCACAGCACATTCACAGACATACATGCATGCACACATGCACACTGCACAATGCACATGCACACGTGCTGGCTACAGTCAGAGTAGCACAGGTGAGGCCTGGCTGGGGGCGTCGCCAGCGGTGCTGGGGGCGTGACCGTGGGCGTGGCTTGCGGCTTGGGCGGAGCTCGACCCCGTCGGTCCCCCACGTAGTGCAGCCCCAGCTCCTGTCCGGTGCGGGTGGCTCTGTCTGGCTGCCCTGCAGTCACGGTCCAGGTCGGGCGGGCGGCGCCGGCTCTACGGGGCGGGGCCTTGCGGGGGATGGGAACGGGCGGTCGGGGCCACCAGGTCCGTAGAGCCCTGGCTCCCAGGCCGCGCTCCTGCTGTGCTCCCGGAGGTCGGCGCCAGTGTTGTGGGGCCTCGCGGCGGGTGCGGGAGTCGCTATCCCTTCCTCTTCCGTCCTCCTCTGTCTTCTGCCCGCCGGGGTGCAGGCCAGGTGGCTCAGCCACTGGTGACGCCGGAGCGGTGGAGGGGACCGAGGGTAGAGACCCCGGTAGAGACCTTCCCGTCTCGGCCTTCCGCGAGGCGCGCCCCGCCTCCGTGCTCCACGCCGGTCACCTGTCGTCATCACCTTCCCTGCCCTTCATCGCCCGCCGTCCCGTCCCCCGCGCGTCCCCTGCCCTGGCCTCTCCATCCCTGCCTCACCTTCTTCTGCCCTTCGCAGCTCCTCGGCAGGCGCGATCCGGAGGAAGGGGGCCGAGGCAGCCCGGACACCGCCGGCACCCTCGCAGCCGGAGACCCGGACTCCCCCCGGAGGTGCAGGTCTGTGCCAGCCTCCCCTTTCTTGCACGCTGCGGCCCGGGAGGGCAGGGTGCAGCTGGCGGGGGCTGGGGTCCTGGCGCCAGTGCTCCGCAGGACAGTGTGGTCGCACTGTCAGGACGACCTGGGCCCACCTGGGTTCTTCCATGGCCGGCGCTTGCTGGTTAGGAGCCCTGTCCCTGGCCTGGCTGCTGTGGGTGGGACCCTTCCTTGGGCCCCAGGTCGGTGCCCTTCCTGGGCGGTGGCAGTGTCTCTGGGAGGGAGGTGACCCTGAGCCCCGTGGGGACAATGAAGCTGCCTCTGATGGAGCAAGGTGGCAGCAAACAGGAGAAGCCCAGGAGGAGAGAGGGGCTCCGTGCTGGGCCCCAGATGGGGCCAGGAGCTGCTGCTGCTGCTGGGCATGGGGAGTGGGCCTGGCCCTGCTCATGCAGGCCCTGCATACGAACCTTTCCTGGGGAACCAGGGCCCTGTGCATGCCAGACAAGCTTCCTACCACTGAACCGTGTCCCCAGCCGGCCCTGTGACCCTGGTGCCAGCGCAGGGACGAGAACCTGTGGCCTGAAACCTCAGCCCAAGTGCTCAGGTGCTCGGGGCCTGTGCTTGGAGACCTATTTGGAGCTTGGCACACATGAACTCCTCGGTGGCTACATCTGGCTTTTAGAACCCTTAGAGCCATCTGCTGTCAGGTAGACTGTCCCCACAACAGGATGAGGACACAGTGCTGTGGTCTTACCAGCAGGTAAACTGGAGCCAAGTGCCGGCTGGGTCTGGCACTGACGCAGGGACCAGGCTTTGATCTTCCAGCTCTCTGTGCAGCTCCCACCCGTCTCCTGTGCCCAGACAGCACCCTCTATGGGGGAAGGTGGAGCCATGGGAGGGAGAGGGAAGGCTAAAGGAGATGACTGCTCCACCCTGGAAAGGGAGACTGAAGAGAGGGTTTGAAATAGACCCCAGGAAGAGCAGGCTGTCACTGCAAGATAGCTCTGAAGACCCTCAGCCTGGCTCTGCCTGCTGGGAGCCTCACAGGCCAGGAGTTGCAGCTAGATCCCCTCCGTAGAAGTTGCTCACTGGAATGAGGGGACACTGAGCAAAGGATGCAGAAACATGCGTGGAAAGTACAGTGCCTTTTTACAATGTAGAATCTATCAGAGGTGAGACACGCTGCCGTAAATCCCCTGAGTCCTCCTGGCGTCAGGCACGCCCTTCCCATCGTCCTGGCCACCTTTGGCGGCAGCTCTGGAGGCTCTTTCTCAAGGGTCTTCAGTTGTGCTGTCCTGGCTGCCTCGGTGTCCTTCACTGATTCACAGTGCGGGTCTTTCGTGGTCATTCTGACTTTGGGGAGGAGCCAGAAGTCCCCCAGGGCCAGGTCTGGTGAACAGAGTGGCAGAGATACGACCTTGTGCCTTTACGGTCTGCCTTTCCATTGGATGGCGCCTGGCGGCAGCAGTCACCATGTTTCTGATTTCACCTGGTAGCCGCTCAGGTAGATGGCTCCAGAGCTGCTGCCGAAAGCATCAAGGATGGTGGGATGAGTGGTCAACCAAGGGGGTCTTTGAGGGGGACTCGTGGCCCTGTGTCTTTCACAGTGGTTGTTTACTTAGTAAACACACACTGAGCTTCTCCTTGCTGTCCCTGCACTTGACGCTGCTGCAGGGTAGCACAGGGAGTGGCCTGCCTCCTGCAGACCTGGGCTGCGGCCCGGCAGATGCCAGCAGGCTCCTTCTTGGAGTCAGAACCCATGTGGGTGACAGGCAAGCAAACCCAGTAGGGTTCCCAACAAGGAGTATAAAGACCTGACCTCAAGTGGGAAAGAAGGGGTGACAGGTTTCACCTGGCTCCGTGACCTGGGCAGCTTTCATTTCCTCCTGCAGGAACCAGGGGAAACCTTGGAGGAAGGGACCAGAGTGGAGCCTGGGGTCCCCCAACGGATTGCAGGGGCTTCCTGCTTGTCCGGAGTGCCTGGGGCTGCATGTGTTAGGTTCTGGAGCTTATAGTCACCTGCAGGTTGTTATCTTGTTTATTTTATTTTATTTTATTTTATTTTTTTGGCGGAACCAGGGGTCAAACTCAGGTCCTCGCGCTTGCCAGGGAAGCGCTTATTCCACTGAGCCATCTCCCCGGCCCTTGTTCTCTTGTTTGTGGTGTGAGACTTGGCCCCAGGCTCTTGCCCTGAGCTACATCCAGGATTCCCAGGCACACACTTCTTTCTTTGAGATAGGATCTTGCTAGATTGCTTGCTGAGGCTGGGCTTAAACCTGCAACTTCGCAGCCTCCCAAGGTACTGGGATTGCAGGTGTCACCATGTCTCGCTCTCCCCACCCTTCCTCAATACTGCGGTCTGAATACAGGGAGCCCTGATGTACACTCTCAGCACTTTGGGTCTATTTTTAAATTTTGAGACAAGGTCTCACCAAGTTGCCCAGGCAAGGCTCAAACTTATGATGCTCCTGCCTTGGCACATGGGTGGCTGGGATGACAGGAGTGCACCTCTGGCCCGCCAGGTCAGGTGTTCTGGTGGGAGCTCCTGGCCTCTGAGCTTCCGTGCGGGCAGGGCTTCTGTCTGCAGCCGCCTGCACTGCTCTTTACGCCATTGGTCCCAGGGCACTGCCTTCTTTCCCCCCCATTTGTTTGCTCACCACCAAGGTAGGTGGGCTCCTGGCCAGCCTCTCAGGGTGGGAACCATTCCTGGGGCTGGTGCCCTGGTGACAGGTTTTCTGGGGCTGGGAGCTCTGCGCTGCACTGCAGGTGCTCCCTGCGGCCAGAGGCGGCCTTGTCACTCTCCTCCTCCAAGGCTGATCTTGCAAGTACAAATCTTTTTGTGTCTGTTTTTACAATGAAAATGAAATCACTAGGGCCGGCCAAATAACTCAGTGGATGAAAGCACCTGCAAACAGGTGCAGCGGCTGGAGGTTCGATCCCCAGGCTTGCTGTGCCGGCCCGCCCCTGGGGCGCATACATCTGTAACCCCAGCTTTTGGGAGGCTGTAAGCAGGTAGATCACTCGAGTCTGATCTAGTAGTGGGACCCTGAACACCCTGTAGACCCTTCCCTAAAATAAATGCAAAAAAAAAAAAAATTAAAAGCAATTTTAAGAAAGGAAATGAAATCACTAAAATTGTGATGGGGTCTCTGGAGCTGAGAGAAGCCCGAGAGCTGTGGTGACCTGGCCAGGCTGAGTCGGGGCTGCGCAGGCACCCTGAGGTCGGGGCTGCCTGCAGTGAGCAGGGTTTCACTAACATCGGAGAGACGGTAGTTGGGAATCGTGAGGAAATGAGTGAGGAAGACGTGCTCCTCCTGTGTTTTACTTGTTGGAGCCCCTTTGTGTTTACAGAATGTTGACATTGTTTTTCTGTTACTTAAATAGGCTGTGGATTAGAGACATGATGTTTGTTTTGCTTTCTTTTTGAGACAGGGTCTCACTTTGTAGTCTAGGCTGGGCTTGAACTCCAGGTTGCTGTGGCTTGTGTCTAGTTGTCCCCCTCAAAGCCTCGTGCAGTCATGGGGCAGCTTCTGGAGTTTGTGACTGAATCGTGATCCAGTTCCGGCATTAAGGGTGTAAGTGCCTTAGGGTGATACTCTGCCTCACAACGTCAGGAGGGAGAGGGGCTCGCCTTGCCTCGGCTGCTGCCACCCGCCCCCTTGCCCTCTCGCTCTCGGCCACATGTGCCACTCTGTGTGGAGCCAGCTGGGTGTGGACTGAAACCTCAGCTAGCCATGGACTAAATAAATCCTTCCTTCATTTTGGGTGGCGAGTATTTGTCCCAGCAGTGAGAGAAGAGAAACCGAGACGGAGGTGATGGTGCCTCAGCCTCTGAGTCCTGGGATTTCAGAGGTGTGACGCCACAGCATGAGGCACAATTTTCTTATTTATTTATTTTTTATTTTTTTTAAATATAATTTCCAATTCAGCAGTTTTTTTTTGTTTGTTTGTTTT